GAGAACTGGCGACTTTGTAGTACAACTTTAGTACGCGGAGCAATCTGTGGAGCTGGAAGCTGAGAACTGGCGACTTTAGTACGCTGGAAAGAGACAAAGAGTCAACCCACACCAAAGGTTGCAAAGAGTCTTGGCCAGGGCCAAAGAGTTGTATGTTCAGCTGCAAACTACCTCAAGATCAAGCAACCTTAGGCTGTCCATGGTTTGCGATGCTGCCAAGCCCCACTCACAATGGGCGCTTGCAGGCAAAAGCTGCTGAGACAAAGCACTTTCTCTTGCCCCTCCTGCGTGTCATGAAGGAAGCATTGGGCAAAGAAGGTGGAATCCACACACCTTCGTAGGCCCATAATTAATGCACTGTACATAGACCTCACTCCTCCCATTTTCGTTCAGCGGGTGGTGTTGTTTCACGCTAGTGTACCTTATACATTCACTGTTACCTACTTGTTTGGCTCAAGGCAAAACAGGTGCGACTTTGCGGTACTAGTCGGTCGTTTACCTGTAACGACAAAGGGCACAAGCGCCAGCATGGCCATTCAGCTTGACCACTCCCTGAAATAAACATAGCATTTCGGAAGCACGTTATGTTGCCAAGACTGTTGAAAACGACACTTAGAAGGCAAACTGAATTGCTCCTCAGGAGGGGCACTTTGCAACTATCATGGCCTGTTGGTTGTCATATCATTTGTTCCCTTTTTGCCTTTTTGCATTACAACCACCCAGATTCCAGGATATTTTGAGCAGCTGCCAACTTCCAGGTCTGTTCAAAACAATCCTTGAGAGACTGCAATGCCATCGTGGCATCCAACGCTCTGTTTGTGTGGCTTTCACGTGTAAGCAACCTTGATTCTTTCCATTGCAACAATCCTGGCATTTTGGATGGCGCAATTCGTTGTCCCAGCCTTGCTTGTTTCAGGGAAACTTTTTGTATGTTAGAGATGCAACGGAGGGACCTTGGGTTTGGGGACGATGTCCAGCGGCTGATGTTGGTTTCACTTACTGCCCCTGGTAAGGCCTGTCGCAGGGAGGTTGCGGAGGTTCCGGATGGGCGTTGCAGCACTCAGAAGTTGCTGTAGATTCTGTAAACATGTGAAATTATTCATATTGGGTGCTGCTTGAGCCACTTGAGGCCTTTTTGCGTACATCGATGGCATCGTCATCCGTGTCAACTCACCGAAACCTGAGAAGCTTTGGGCTTCTGCTAAAGCGGGTCCTGGCTACATTGTGTGGTCCAACGGAGAGCTCTATTCAGGACCGCTGAAAAACTCCCAGCCACACGGCAAAGGCACGCACTACTTTGAGAACGGCGACTTCTTTGAGGGAGACTTTAGAGATGGACAAATTCACGGCAAGAATGGTACCCATTTCTATGAGAATGGCAGCAAATTGGAGGGCACATGGGCAAGCGGTAAAGCGGTCCTTGCCACGTGCACATATCATTTTGTAGACGGGACGAAGTTTACGGGCCAATGGCCAAAGGAGCAGATGAATGCAAAAAGCGTTCAAGAGCATGTATTATACCAACCGCCGTGCTGTACACTGACATTCCCGATGTTCTGGCGCCAAATTTGCCCAGTCAACTCCGATGCGCTTCCATCAGTCATGGACCAGTAACCCTTAAAGTCAGAGACTGCCAGTGCACACTTCAACACCTCCAAAGGAGGTGTTTTTCCAGGTTGACGGGATGACTTCATCATAGTTCTTCTCGATCACAGATGTAAAACTATTTGTGCACCGTTGCGAGCATGCATTCTTGTGCGTGCAGCGACAGCGCGCTTTATAAGGTCAAGGTTCTCTTTGGATGCAACCTGTCTCTAAAGAAGGCCTTGCTTATAGCTTTTCCAGCCAGTTGCAAAGCAAATTGGACTATGTGAAGCTCAATGCTCTTCATCGTTGAAGACGCCAATCATATGCGCGATGTGCACGTGCTTAATCAGATTCTCTGCATCTGTCAGGAGTTGTTTTTGAATGGCCCCGACAGCTGCAGAGTACTGGATGGCCTGCGTGCCCCAAGGATAGGCATTGCGAAGGCAGGAGAGTAGAAAATGATAGTGAGAGGAACCATCCTCGGTTGCGTTGAAGCCGCTCTGTTTTGGAGCATATTTTTCTGCACATAAGACACTTCTGAGACCTGATTTCTGCACTGTCAACCAAAGTTTCTGTTGTGCATGTTCCTTGGCTCGAGCTCCACACGGGATAACGGGACTTTTTGCAGGCATTGCTTCCAAGAGTTGGCTTAGAGTTGCTGAGATGTAAACAACGGGGATTTGAGGATCTCATCTCCAGTATGTCGGAAGCGTTGATGATGATGATGTTTCTGCCTTCTTGGCGTGAGGTACTTCGAAGTCCTCGAATCCCGAATGGTGCATTGCTTCCAACTCCTGCATCCAAGTCGCGGAGGCACTGTCTTGGTCTGCCGCTGCCTGAGATAGGGCGAGAGGTTTTTCTGTGCCAATCAATCAGTGCTGCTAGATGTGTGCAAGTGTGAGGGGCTCAATGCTTTGCGGAGGTCATGGATCTGAGAGGACAGGCACGCCCAGCGAATTGAGAGCAGGTAAAGACCCCGCATTATGCAAGCGCCACATATTTTAACTTTTTCTTTGTCACAGGTTCTGATGCCAGCTTGTTCATTGCTGTTTTTGCTCCATCAGACCTGGTTGAGGTCCCTTTTTTGCAATGTTCAAAAGGAAAGGGTCGAGAACGCCGACTTTGTGCTGGCTGCGATGAATTTGAGATGCAATCTAGCGAATGCCGCTGGTGCATTCTTCATGATGGGACTGTGCTTAGTAGACGAGGAGACATGTATGCTGTGGAAAGCAACGAGCCTTGCCAACGTGCCACTTCACTTGTTGTGGGTTTGGGCTTTTGTCTCATTATTTGCATCTCACGAGTTGTTGTTGGTTCCTCGTCTTGCCAAAGCACCAATGCTTCGCTGTGTTGCTCAGTGTCTGTGGTGGATATTGAACGCAGCAAAGGCGGGGGAAGTCACACGCCCCCAAAAGGGCGAGCTTAGTTCAGCAGCTGCACGTCAACTGTTAGACTAGAAACCTTGTTATGTCAGCCGCCAAGTCGAGCAAGATGTGTTGCAGATCTGCAGCGTTTCCCGTGACTGGACAGGGGTGCACAGTCAAAAAGCTTTGCCTGTGGTGGGAGGACTGGTTTACTTGAAGGCAGAAGGTCACTTCCATTGGAGGGTTGTGGTGGTGGTTACTGGCACTGGTGCATTTCGATGGTGAGGCGCGTGCCCGTTCGGGCAGGCGCATGGAAGTAACATTTTGGTGATTATTTTGCAAAGGTATCGCTGTGAGGGCTTCTCAAGGCAGCTGCGAAGGTTTGTTTCCAGTGTGCCGTGTATAGGCCCCGTAGTCACCCAAAAGTCACTTGTGAGCATGGCATGTTTTTGACATGTGTTTGACCTTTTTCCCATCAAGAGCGGTGGGCTCGAGACCTTTGAGCCGGAAAGAGATCGGCTCGCCCGCGCGCGAGCGTTTGGCCACGACGGCCTTCGTGTTTCCCCATTGCTGGGGACCGCTTTCATGGTAGGCGGAGCTGCTGGTGATCTTGGTGACGCTGGTGGCCATGCCTGAGGAGATTCCAACATGGAATGGGGACCCAAGTGGGTTCGAAAGCTTCGCCAACTCGTGCAGGTGGTATGAAGCGAGTCTCAAGGACTCGGAGCGGAAGCTCGCGGCACCGCGGATCTGGCAGAAGCTGGAGGGGGCAGCGAAGTCCGTGGTCAAGCACCTCGAGCCGAAGGACTTCGCCACCGAGACCGGGATGAACAAGCTCCTGGGCGTGCTGAGAGAAAGCCCGCTCCAAAAGCTGCCCATCCCGGACAGCTTCAGCAGGCTAGAGAAGTGGACTGGGCTACGCCGCAATGGGAGTGAGTCCATACCACAGCTCCTGGTCCGAGAAGAAGAGCTTTTTGTTGAGCTTCAACAAGCTTTGCAGAGAGCAAGGGCTGAGCGCTTGAAGCATGAGGTGAGGTCAATGGGAGTTGGAGCCTCAGAACACGATCCTCCGACATCTCCCACAAGATCACCAAATGTGACGCTTGGCCGACAAGCTGAACGAGAAGAAGAAGCGGACTTCAGAGCTGCGGAACCTGGACCTCCCAGAGACAATGCCGGGCTCTTTGAGAACGAATTGCGTGGCTACAGGCTTCTGAAGGCCTCGAAACTCTCATCCGCAGAACGCCAACATGTCATGACCCTCACGAAGAACAGCACTCATTTCGAGCTCGTCAGACAAGCTTTGAGGTCACTCTTTGCAGATGGCGCTGAAGGCGGAGAAGATGGAGCTCGACATTCGAGGAGAACCGTGTGGTACGCTGAAGACCCCAATCCGAGTTGGGACGCATGGGAAGATGATATGTGGGCTGAGGAGGTGAACTTCTGGGATGAGGAGGCCTACTGGGCGGACTGGTCACCGTCTTCTACCTGGGCCTATGAGGATGACGGCGACTACGCTGGTGGTGGTGATGATGGACTATATGGAGGTGAAGATCATGAGCCGACAGCTGAAGAACTGGAAGGTGAAAAGACTCGAAGAGGCCTACACCCTCGCCACTGAGGCCAACAGGACTTTGACCGAAGCCAAACAAGCCGTGGCCCGAGTCAGAGCCGCCCATGGATACTACAACCCTGCCGGCATGAAGGGCACCACGGGAATTTCGTCGAAGGGCAAGAAGGGACACCCCAACGGCAAAGGCAAGGGCACTGGAGGCCTGGGACCATGCTTCATTTGCGGACAGCCAGGTCATGGCTATCTGAAGTGTCCTGACAGGTGGTCTGGGGGAGGCGGCGGTAAAGGTAAGGGCACTCCTTCATCCTCTCCTTCCTCAAAGGGATCCTCGATGAGCAAAGGGAAAGGCAAGAAGGGCAAGATCCGGAAGGGCAAGACCTACTTCACGGACTATGACCCCGAGTACTGGTACCCTGAGGTGAACGTCCTTTCCATGGCTGAGGACCACACGATTGAGGACCTGGAGGTCTCGAAGGTCATCGTGGACACTGGCGCGACTGAATCTGTGGCTGGAGTTCGCGCTATGGCAAGAGTGCTAGACGCACACCAGATGCCCTACGACATCGACCTCTTCGATCGTCCGCGATTCCGGTTCGGGAATGGAGAACACCAACGGGCCATCTCAAAGATCAGCCTCTCCACGTTCTCCTTCGGCAAGCTGAGCTTCTACTTGCTGGACGGAAAGGCCGAGAACACACCTTTGCTGCTTGGCTCAAGGGACATGCGAAAAAGGAAGGCAGTGATTTCGTATCATGGAGAGTACCTCGCGCACAGAAGTGCAATGACAGGACAATGGTGGGCCAACACGCTCTTCAATGCTCGTGGTGGCGGACATTTGATCTTGGACTTAAAGGAGCATCGAATCCCCTTGAGGATGTTGCTGATGCGGTTCAACAACAACCCGGGCACTCGCTGGCCACCTGAAGATGATGAACAAGATGATGACAGTGGTGGTGACGACCAGAGTGGACCTGGTCAGAGAAAGAGGAACCGACCGACGCCAGTTCCTCGACCTCCGGTTGATCCAACAGCCGGACTGCTGGCGGCTACGACGGCAGCTACTAGGGGCCTAGGGGTGCGACAAGTGCGCATGAGGGAGCCGACGCTCTTGAGACGGATGAGAACCTTTCTCCATCGGTCGTGCAATCTCCTTCAGTGGAGGTCGAAGGACCGCCTTTGATGTCAGCACCCTCTGCAAATGCTGCAGGCCTGGATGCACCCATTTTCGCTGGAGCTACGGCCGAGCCTGAAACAGAGCTGCCACCGGAGAGATCTCGTCCACCTCAGTTGCTCGGACATGACATGAGACGTGGCGATGACAACCATGAGACGATGGACGCGGACATTGAACAGCCTGTGGATGCACCTGAACGTCGAGTCACTCATGTTCTTCATGACAGCTAAGAGATTCTAGAGCATGATGAGTGTCAGTCGGCTGGTCCACATGTTGAAGGTCCTGTGAGAGAGGAGTCAGTCCTGATGATCCATGGAGAACATGATGCACCTGATCTTGGTGAACGCCTTAGCTCTGGCTCAACGACTCCGTGACCTGCGGACACGCTCCTCTGGACTATCCGGAGATGAAAGCCAAGGTATGCCCTCCTTCCACCGACATGGATCCTCGCCATGTTGGCTGGCCCTGCATGGGACAGCATCATCCAGGGAAGGAGAGAGCAAACAAGTATGCGGCCTGGCAGGCATGCAGCCGGTGCGGACTACGTCTCCGGTACATCACCAAGGGCACTGGACACGGCGAGACGAGAGCCATTGGTCCGACTCCAGAGATGGTGAACGCGGCGCAGCAGGAACTCCGAGAACAGTTCACTGCAATGGAGATGAACGAGAAGATCTTCAACGGGAAGCTGATGGAACTGCGCGGAAGGACCCTGGTGGAGTCGGGTGGCTATGGCCGGACGACAGTCCAGGTGAGGGCGGACGAGAAGCTGGGCGAGGCACTGATGAGCTCCTCGGCATGTGGAACGACCAGGACACCAAAGAAGTCTCCAAAGAGAACGACAAGTCCCGCACCGAGATCCCCATCACCGATTCGACCGACATCCAAGGGACAGGCATCTGTCGACAAGACCGAAGCGAAGACCGAGAAGGTGACGAGATCATCCGGAATGATGCCGAAGGTCCTGGACTTGGAGGAGACGGTCAGGAGGTGCTCGACACGGCCAAGCCGGAGATCAAGGAGGAGAAGGCGCAGGCCGAGTGAGAGGGCGCCTAGATGCACTGTGGAGTGCACTGAATGGGTTGCGATCTCGAATGCAACCGGCCTCATCGGAAGATGGGGAATGCCAACCACGGCTGGAGGCTGAGGCTGGCAACAATCTTGCAACAACACCTATGAGCCCAACACGCCAACTTTCAACCGAGCAGGATGAGCCTCATCCGACCAACCTGGAGAACCCAAAGTTGTATATAATACGACCCAAAAGGCCAACATACATTTTTTGAGCAATAATACATCCCTCGGCACAGGGGTGTATTTCGGCTGGCTGAGGGTTGTATTTTGCTGACTGCAGCATGTTTCCAGCCGGTTTGAAGCTCCAATACCAAGCTCCACTACCACTATGCACAGGATATAGAATTGTTTGTGCGCTGCATGTTATATACGCGTCACTCTTTCAGTGGTAGCGGGGCAAAACTCTGCACATTTTTGCGGTATCCTTTTCTCACTTGTGTCTCAGATGGTAGCGGAGCAAAATCTTGTCAGGTTCACACTTTCAATGTCAAAAACGTGTCAAAAAGTTCTTGTCGCGCGCAAGAATACACCACACTCGCTACCAGTTTGTTTGCTTGGTTGCGCTACAAGGAAATTTGTTTCATTAATGCTAGTGTTCACAGGAAATGCCAGGGGTCACACATGTGAAACAAACAAGTTGCCAGCAAGGATGCAAAGAACAAACGTGCCGCCAGTTTCTTTCGCACTGTTTTTTCACCGCTTTGCGTCTGTCAAGCTGTAACCGTCTCCAAAGAAGAACTTGTTTCAGCACATAGCGTTTCCCCCAAGATCTTCGCACTGTAGAGGCATGACAGCCGAGCGAAAGACCTCGAAGGTGCTTCATGCTGTCTTCATCAACAAAGTTGGATTGCCCCATTGGGTTTGATTTCCACCGTGTCAATTCATCTAAAAGATGAATGAAATAGTGATGCTTTGGGCGGACCTTAAATAGGAGCTGCCCTTTCGCCTCCGCTTCACTTGAAAGTGCACCGTAACACAACAAATGCAACCTTCCCATCTCTGCAGACAGTTTAGCCTCACTTTCCGTGAGCTTGGGAT